GCTGGAGAAAGCTGCCCTCGCTGCCGGCTCTCGTAAGTTGAAGGCTGCTCTGGAGCGATCTAAGGAGATGTTCCGCGGGCAAGCCGAGCTGCTGGCCGCGGAGAAGGAAAACTCGGGGAAGGTTGCCGAGGAGAGGGACATTTTTCAAATGGACCGAGAACGCTTGGAGGCCGACAACGAGCGTCTGGCTAAAGAAGTCGAGGATCTGAAGGCCGCCATGCTTCCCGCTGAAGATGAGTCGGAGGAGACAACCCCCTTGCGGAGTCACTCGGATCTGGTCATGTGCATCCATCTCCTCGAAACGGACTATGTTGGCGCCTTGGAAGATGGTTTTGAGGCCGCGGTTAGCTAGCTCACTTTATTGAATCTGGGCCTGAATGCCGAGGGGGTGGGTTTCATGTCCCAGATCATCGACGGTCAGGTCGTGCCTCCTCCTGAGTCTCCTGTCGTGGATGCTGGTAGCCCCGAGGAAGTCTAGCCGTGGAATTCTGGTCGGGCTTGCGCGCCTGTTTAATGGTAGTTATTTTTGGGGCCTGCGTGCCCGTGCCCATGCTTGTGCTCGGTTGTTACTTTGTGGCGAAATTTGCCTAAGTTACGTCCTCGAGTGTAGATTCTTTCGACCCATTTGGTGGTCCGACGTACTTCGAAACGTGCCGGTCATGCGGAGTAAAGCCGCTTGCTCGGGCGTATGACCCAGATCGGGGTCGCTTGCCCGTGGCGTGAACTGCCCATCGCGAGCTGGGTGTTCTTCCATGTGGATACTTCGATAGTGGAGCTCGATTGAGGTGTCCATGTCGAGCACTGTCGTTCGTGCTCATTTGGCTGAACGACGTCATGTTGTTTGGGCGTAGATTGGGCCTGTACCTTGGCCTATCTACATGGTCGAGACATTTCTCTCCGTTGACTGGATGTGGGTGTTCGACGACGAGAGTCCTTAGTGTTAAGGGTTTTTTAACTATAGTACTGCTTTAGTTTAGCAGCGTTCCAGGGTCGTGGCAATGGTTCTCCGTGTAGTTGCTCAAGGTAGTATGCCCCGGTACCTGTGGTGTCGTGGACGCGGTAAGGCCCTTCCCAGTTTACGGCCAATTTCCCTTCGCGGGAGTCTTTCTGGTTTCTTCGTAACACCAGGCTGCCGATCTCGAACTCGTGTTTAATGACCTTGTCATTGTGATGCAGGGCCACTCGTTGTTTTAAGGTGGCCTCGCGCAGGGCTGCCCCTGATCAGATTTCCTCGACTAAGTCGAGTTCGTTCCTGAGTGCCTCGTCGTTCATTTCTTCGTCGAGGGGAGTTTCTGTCCGCCTGGAGGATTCCCTGATTTCTACTGGGATGACGGCCTCGGTGCCGTATGTTAGTCGAAAGGGGGTCTCGCCCGTCGTCGAATGGGGCGTGGTGCGGTGCGCCCACAAGACACTGTGCAGCTCCTCGACCCAGCCTCTCTTAGCTTCACCAAGCCGGCGTTTGAGTCCTCGGAGGATGACTCTGTAAGCGGCCTCGGCTTGCCCGTTGGTTTGAGGGTGCTCGACCGAGGTGAAGTGTTGTTTTGTTCCCAGTTTGGTGACGAAGTCTTGGAATCTGTGGTCGGTGAATTGGGTGCCGTTGTTGGTGACCAGTGCTCTTGGGATCCCGAATCTGGAGAGGATGTTTCTCTTGTAGAAACGGAGGATGTTGTGCGAGGTGATCTTCGCGAGAGCCTCGGCCTCTATCCATTTCGTGAAGTAATCCACAACCACAATTAGGAACTTGTTTTGGTAAGTTCCTTGCACGAAGGGTCCGAGGATATCCATCCCCCACCATGCAAACGACCACGGGGATGACAGTATGCTCAGCTCGTGAGGGGGAGCGAGGTGCATGTTGGCATGCCTCTGGAACTTGTCACACTTCTTAACGTGTTCCTTGGCATCCTGCTACATCGTCGGCCAATAGTACCCCGCTCGAAGGGCTTTCCTCGCCGGGGACTTACCGCCCATGTGTTGGGCATTAATCTCTTCGTGTATCTCTCGTAATACCTCGGGGACTGTGGATTCGTAGATGCACTTCAGGAGGGGAATGGAGAATCCCCTGCGGTATAGTTTGTACTCGAGCACCACGTAGGAGCATGCTCGTCGCTTCGTGATGGTCGCTTCTGTCTGGTCCGAGGGGAGTTCGCCCTTTGTCAGAAAATTGTACACCGGGGTCATCCAGGACGAGGCGTCTCCTATGGCGTGTACCTCGACTGGTGTCGAGGACCTTTCGATGCTCGGGCGTGACATGGATTCTTGTATGACAGATTTGTTTCTGCCCTTCTTTCTCGTGCTTGCGAGTTTGGACAATATGTCTGCCCTTGTGTTTTGCTCGCACGGGATGTGTGATATTTCTGCTCGCTCAAACTTTGTCATGTGTTTTTTGACTAAGTTTAAGTATTCGACGAGGCTATCGTTTTTGGCTTGGTAACTCCCTTGTACTTGGGAGGCAACGAGTTGTGAGTCCGTGAAGATTTGTATCTCGCGAGCTCCCAGGTCCTCGGCTAGCCATAATTCTGCGAGCAGGGCCTCGTACTCTTCTTGGTTATTCGACATCGGGAAGGAGAGGGTTAGCGAGTGTTCGATCACTACGCCTTCCCTATTTTCCAGGAGGATCCCCGCGCCGCTTCTGGACGAGCCGGAGGCTCCATCGACGAAGATGGTCCATTTGTGTTCTTTCCCTGCGGGCGGGTCGTGAGCGGTCATTTCCGCGACGAAGTCGGCTAGGGCTTGTGCTTTCAGAGCTTTCCTGCTCTCGTATTGAATATCGAATTCGGAGAGTTCTAAGGACCATTTCAACATTCGGCCTGCCATGTCAAGTCGACCTAAGAGTTGTTTCACCGGTTGGTCGGTTCGCACGATGACTGTGTGGGCCAGAAAATAGTGTCTGAGTCTCCTCGCTGCATTGACGAGGGCTAGAGCCACTTTTTCTATCTGTTGGTACCTGCTTTCGGGTCCTTGTAGGGCTTTGCTCGTGAAATAAACGAGTTTCTGCCCGTCGGTGGTCTCGCGGATGAGAGTCGCGCTGATGGCTTCGTTCGAGACGGCCAAGTATAGGAATAATGGCTCCCCGTCGACTGGTTGAGATAGCACGGGTGGTTGGGATATACTTTGTTTTAGGTGGCGCAGTGCTCGTTCGCATTCCTCGGTCCATTCGAAGGCTACCTCTTTACGAAGGAGTCTGAAGAAGGGGAGGGCGTGCTGAGCAGATCTCGCGACAAAGCGGGACAATGACGTGAGCATGCCGTTCATGACTTGTATTGATTTCTTCGACGTCGGTGTCGGGAGGTCGGAGAATGCTCTACATTTGTCGGGATTGGCTTCGGTTCCTCGTTCTGTCAGGTAGAAACCGAGGAATTTCCCCGCCTTGACTCCGAACGTGCATTTTTCGGGGTTGAATCTCATCTTACATTATCTAGCTTGGGCAAAGACTGCCTTGAGGTGTGCTGCATGATCGGTGTCTACTCGGGATTTGACGATCATGTCGTCCATGTAGACCTCGAGCATGTCTCCGATATGCTTGTGGAACACCCTGTTTATCATACGTTGGTAAGTTGCCCATGCGTTCTTTAGTCCAAAGGGCATTAAGTTGTAGTAATAATTTCCCGAGCTGGTCATGAAGGCAATGCAATGTTTGTCGCCCATGACCATTGGGATTTGGTTGTAGCCTGAATAGGCATCCATGAACGATAATGTTTTGTAGCCGGCCGAGTTGTCGACCAGCATATCTATGTTTGGTAAAGGGAAAGCATCCTTCGGGCATGCCCGGTTGAGATCGGTATAGTCAACACACATCCGCCATTTTCCATTATTCTTTTTAACTAGTACAACGTTTGACAGCCAGGTTGAATATCGGGCTTCAGAAATAAAATTTGCCTCTAGGAGGTCTTTTACAGCTTTTTCAGCAGCCTCCGTTTTCTCCGGAGACTGCCTATGCCTACTGTTGTACCCCAATTTTTGACCTAAGATCCCATTTTTATTTTTGCATTTTTAAGATAAGTCAAGGTCACGAAATACGGTCAGTTTTAACGTCTCACCTTCGAGCTTCGACTATGCGAAGATTGTCAAGTGTTTTGAACATTTTTAGCATATGTATCACTAATTTCTAATCGCATACAAAAGGTGTATGTTCATGTTTTCTTTTGTGTCATGTGCAGAGACAGGTCTGAAGCAAGAGCATCAGGTGTCGCGCCTCAATCAAGGTTTTGAGTCTCCCAAGCCAGAAGTACGGTTGATTGCGAATTCTTGAAGACTGATTCATCAAGGCACACCGTTGCACCCTAAATTTCGCCCCTAATATGTTTTAGTCGCACTTTCATATCATATTTTGTTATTTGGTCACGATCGTTGGTAAATATCTTCATTCATCACATTTTTGCATCATTAGTCGTATTTAAGTTGATCAGAAAAAGTCAGTTTAAATCAAAGTTTGCATCGTCTTTCAGTTGTAAAATACCCGGCATTTTGCTTCATGCATTTTTATCTTTTTACTCATTTGTTACATTGCTCCAAGTTGTTTATATGTCGATAATAAAAATATTTTGGTTTTATAGATAGACTGTTAAAAGCGATTCGACACTATGCGGGAAAGTAGCAAGAAAATATTTCAAGTTTTCACCTTTTACCGATCATTTTATGAATCTGCGCTTCGCGTAGATTATGACGGTATGCTCGCTTTATTTTTCGGTACAGTTCGAAGTCTCGTTTTTAATCTTAAACGTCTGTTTAGTCTGATATTTTTATTATTATTTTATTTTTGATTTTTTTGACTTCTTGAATATTGTTTTTCTTTAATCTTTGTGACATGTAGTTTATTTTAATGTGTTCATTTTATTTTATCGGATAAATTTTCGTCCGTTTTTTATCGTTTTCGGTCATTTTGTGTCTTTATTTTTAATTCAGAAAAAAATTCAAAAAAACTATTTTAAATTGAGTTATATTTTATACTTTTAGGTTTTTAAGTTATTTTTATCATTAAAGGGCTTTTCTGTCATAAAAAAATGTTTGTTACACTTTGCTTTGCTCTCATTGGTTGTAAGCAAGAGTTGCGGATCGATAGAAAAAAAGAAAAGACAAAAAAGCAAATTCATAGCAACACCCTTCTCTCTTAACCCATCTTCCCTGTTATCCCACCCTTGACACACAACAAAAAAAATACAACACAGTAAACCACTTATCTTTCTCTCCATTCCCAAAACAGCATCTCAAATTCTCTTCCTCTCTCTAGCGCCTTTTTCCTTCATCTTCTTCAATCAAAGCAGAAATGACAAGTTTTTATCACATATTATATCCTTCTCTAAAAACCAAATTCCTCATACACAGGCAGTAGTATAAACCATACTATAGCACCTTCTTTGTCTTACTCTTATTCGCATCCATTTTCGCACAATCCAAGTTGCTCTCTAACGCGGAATTCCACTGAGAATTTTGAGTTTTCGACGAGCAAAGATGATCATATTTGGAACTGTGGTGAAGGGACTAATGGTTCTGTTCATAGCAGGTTTAAACCAATTGGTGATGGTGTTGTTGGTTTGTCGAATCATGGAGGTGGAACCGGTATCAGTTTGTTCATGCAACAAGGGAATAATAGTCAGTATAAAACTACTAGTTCGGAAAATCATTCTTTTTTTCCTTCTGAATTGCCTGCTAGGCCTAGATTTGAAGCTCATTCGGGGGATTCAAGAGGAAATAACTCAGAGAATCTGAGAGTGTTTGAAGGTTTAGATGGTGGTAAGATGAGGAATATTTTAAGACCAGAGAGAATTGTTTGGGATATTGTTTCAGAATCTGTCCTTATTGTTTCACTGACAACTCAGGAGTTTACCGGTGAAGTAATGGCATCAACTCAGGAATACTTGAAGAATCTGATTGAGAACAAGAAAGAAGAATTGGTCAGCCTTCAAAACCGGCTTGAGAAAAGGTCTGATCTTACCAAGGATAATCTTTCAAAGGGCAATAAAGTTCAATTAGAGATTTTACTTGCCATCAAGATGGGGCTGTCGAGCTTCTTATACGGTAATCTTCAATTATCTGAGATGGTAGAGATTTTCTTGTATAGGAGATGTAGAAATGTTACCTGCAAGAGTTTGCTTCCTGTTGATGATTGTGACTGTAAGATCTGCTCGGGAAATAAAGGGTTCTGTAGCTCTTGTATGTGTCCTGTTTGTTTGAACTTCGATTGTGCAAGTAACACTTGTAGCTGGATTGGATGCGATGTTTGTTCACACTGGTGCCATGCTGTATGTGGCCTCCAAAGGAAGCTTATCAAACCAGGGCCAAGCTTGAAGGGGCCTTCTGGGACCTCGGAAATGCAGTTTCATTGTATTGGATGCGGACATGCCTCAGAAATGTTTGGATTCGTCAAAGACGTCTTCATGTGTTGTGCAAAGGATTGGGGACTTGAGACCTTGTTGAAAGAGCTTGACTGTGTCAGGAGGATTTTCATGGGAAGTGACGATCACAAAGGGAAGGAATTGCATTTTAAAACCGATGACTTGCTATTAAAGCTTCAAACTAAAATAGTATCTCCTTCAGATGCCTACAATTACATCATGCAATTTTTCAACTACGCGGAGAACATGACAAACTATCCGGCTCCTGGTTTTTCTTCAAAGGAATTGGTAGTCCATCAAGCCAACCTTCCAAAGGACACAATATCTCTTCCAAAAGCTAACTCTTCAATACCAAAATACCCTTATGACTCAAGCTACTCGAGGCCACATTCCAGTGCTTCGTCAAAAGATCTTCATCAAAAAGACCTCAAAGCTTCCATCTTAAGCGAGCTAAAAAACGACGCTGATCTTCAACTGGCAGCTTTACAAAGCAAAAGAAATTATTATGTTGTTTCTATCTGTTTGTTGTGCAGGGAAAAAGGAAAGGAAGAGTTATGAACATCTCGTCGCAGTATCCCTCGCCGACATCTTTCTCCTCTAACCGTCCACTACCGCATCCGATAGCTCCATCTCCATGTCGCGCTCACAACGCACTGCTCCGCCAGACCGCCACTCACGTTCAATTTTTGATCGATATTTCGCTTTTCCTTTGCCATACTTATTTTGTTCTTTATTTGATCTATCAAAGATATCTTCTTTTCATTTGATTTCTGTAAAAAAATAAAGTTTGATCTGTGTGGATATGAGGAAGGAAGAAGGAGATGGACATCCAAAGTGAATAGAAAGAGGATTCTTTTTCTCTGTAAACTTGCAAACTTGTTATTGTGATTATAGAAGAATATAATGCTTGCGTTTTAAAAAAAAATTAAAAAAAATATATTAGTAAATCTTATATTTAGATTTAGTTTAGTATTAATTTAGAATTTTTTTAATTAGTTTAGATTTATTTTATAACTTTAAAATATTTAAAATCATAATTAATAACTTTAGAATTTTATTTTGTTTTAGTTTTATTTTATAACTTTAGAATTTTATTTCATTTAGTAAATTTTAGAATTTTTATTTTGTTTTAGTTTTATTTTATAACTTTAGAATTTTATTTCATTTAGTAAATTTTAGAATTTTATTTGTTTTAGTTTAGTTTAATAACTTTAGAATTTTATTTGATTTTATTTAAGTTAACTTTAGAATTTTATTTGTTTAGTTTTAGTTTAGTGACTTTAGAATTTTATTTGATTTTATTTAGTTAACTTTAGAATTTTATTTGTTTAGTTTTAGTTTAGTGACTTTAGAATTTTTATTTGATTTAGAATTAGTTTAATAAATTTATAATTTTTATTTGATTTAGAATTATTTTAGTAAGTAATTTTTAATTTAGTTCGAATAACTTCTTTAGATAATTAGTTATATTCCTTTTATTTGTATATTTCTGTCATTTCAATTTCTCGGTGCCTCTTGATCATTAATTTGTTTTTGTCAGATTTATTTTCTTGTGAACTTCTGAATGTTTATATTTTGATGTTCATTTTATTTTGTTTACTCCAAGGAAAAGATTTAAACTTTGTTGACTTCACGTCATCAAATACGTCTTCCACGATCGTGCGAATACCCTCATTCATTTTTTTACCATTTTGCTGAACTTAAGTTAATTTTTTCCTAAAAAACTCATTTTCAAACTCCCACCTTTTAAGTCAAAACTTCGACATTAGGTCGTCGTATCTTCAAAATCTTTCCAACACCGATTTTTAGCCAAACGAACCATTTTAATCAAATAAACAATTTTAACCAAAAACAGATATTTCAAAAGGTTCCTGCGGAGTACCGCAGATGCATTGGGTTCTAATACCTTCCCATTGTATAACCAACCCCCGAACTCTCGATCTCTTTCAAAAACGCATTGTATTTTTATTACTTTTAAGTACTATTTTACATTGCACATTTTAGGGTTTTATTTCGCTCTTTTCCCTTTTCCCTTGGAAATAATAAAGCACGGTGGCGACTCTTGCTTTTGTGAGTCAAGTTAATTAATAGCTTGATCTCCGATTTTCACCGCTACAGAATTGGCGACTCTGCTGGGGAAAGATTGACCTCTTGCTGGTCAATCCCTAAGTGGGTTAAGCCTAATTTGTTTTATCTGTTTTATCATTATTTGATTGTTTGATTATATGTATATATTATGATTATTTGGGTGTTGATAATGTTTACAAAGGACAAGTCTTATACCCGGACTAAGTTACACTTAGGAATAGGACGGGCGGTATAGTCATGTTAACTTTGAGGAAGTAATCCCGAAGAAGAAGGCATGAGATCCCCCACTCAGTGGAAGGCCCTTTTGAACGTAATATTTGTTTACCGAGTAATCGGGAAGACATTATTATTTTCGACCTGGGAGCCAGAGAAGCTGGGAACCGTATGAAGGGGTGAAAAACACAAGAAGGGGGGGTTGAATTGTAAAACTGAAATCTTAAAGCAATTGACAAGATATTTTTATCCTGGTTCGTTTGATCTCAAACTACTCCAGTCCACCCGTCAAGGTGATTTTGCCTCTCTCCAACGAGGTCTTAATTCACTATATTCAACTGAATACAAATCTGCTTTAACAACTGCTAAAGCCTTCTTGATTCAAACCACAATCCGGTTTGTCAAGGCAACACTTTCTTACAAAGGTATAAAACAAATGTGTGTGAATGTTTTCTACAAAACTATATCACAACTGTGATGTATACACAAATGAAGCTTAGAAACTTAGAATGCTAAACACTAATGGAGTATCAGAGTTTGTTGGTTTAGCAAAACTGGTGGATGAAGATTATTGTTCAGCTTTGTGCGTGTAGAGAGTTTGGAAGCATTAGCCATGATAATCTTCGAAGCCTTGTTTATATAGCACTTGAGAAGATGAACGATGAATGCAATATTCTTGATTCAATGCTAATAACAAGCTTTCCTTTTTGAGCAGATCTTGTCTAGAATGATGCCGTTGGAATTTATTAGCGTTCAATGCACAGTACCGTTGCTTCTTCAATGCACGTTCTGGCTTGGCTCATTCTGATTCTGCTTTGCTGCTGATGAACTATTGTTTCTGTATCAGAGTGTTTACGCGCAGTTCTGTTCATCAAGCTTCAGCGTGTACGTGAGTTGATCATCTGATCTTCACGTTCTGATTCAGCAACTTCTGATGCTGGTGTATCAAATCAAATTCTGATGCTGAAGAAGTGATCTTGCTTATTTTAATCAGCGTATCTGCAAGTCAGAGCATAGTAATTTTAGGCAGCATATAGTTCAATCATGAAACATATAAATACTATATCTTTTCACTTTGTTATCATCAAAACTTAAATATAGGGTACTAGATTCAAACATTGTTCTAACACCGTAGAACCCTAACCCATCTTGGCCTTTTAGGTGTAGCGCGGAGATTATAACGGAGTAATCCAGAAGTAATTGTTACGCGATGCTACGCTCGGATGAATTTCTCTTGAGAATATTGCTGATTATTGAGTAATCAAGACGTTGGTAATATCCGAAGGAGGGATGTAGACTCCGGGAACTCTTAGAACCTTGTTCTACAGGTGCGATTAAACCGTTAGTACATACCTTGGGGGTGTTCCTTACCTTGACTCCATGCTCGTGACGTTGAACCTTTCGACTTTATTTGTGACCTTGCTTGTGGTTGTTGCATAGCCATGCATTCATGCAACCATAAAACCCTTTCCACTTGACTTTGAAGGAATTTAGAGGTCTTTCTTTGTAAACATCACAAGTTTCGTCAAGCTCAATGGATCTTGGGTGTTGATAGGGCGAAAACCCTAATCCACCAAAATGGATGATTGATCTTGATGATAACTTGATCAATGTTTGGAGCCAATTTAAAATTCATCTTCTATCTTCATACATTGATGTTTACAACTTAATATCTTGAGTTCTTTGAAAATCAAATAAATATTCTCTTTTGCATATCATACATCATTCTACATTTCTTTGTTTCACTTTCAAAGGTCTTTTTCCGAGTCTTATTTTTCCTTTGGTCTCACCAGTACAACACTCGCGCTAAGAAAACAATGGAGAATATCAAGCAAGAGGTTTCTGAACTCCGTAGAGAGATGACTATTTTGAAAGCTAGTATGGAGCACTTAACTGGTTTGGTTGAAATTTTGGTTGCCTCCCAAGTCAATCCTTCTAGGAGGGAGGAAGCGATGATAAAAGTATTCACTGAAACTCTAAAATCATTCTCTCATGAGAAGGTGATGGTTAATGCACCTAATGACTTTCCTGACAAGGTGAATGTGGGAGTGCGTCTAGAAGAAGATGTCGGAAAGGGATGTTTATATGAAGATGGTAGCTCAGCTAATGGTGTGAAGAAGTTTGATAATAACTTTTCCAAGAAGAGAACCAGAGGAAGAAATAATCATCGTCAGAATCATCTTTTTTTTCTCCTATTCATCAATAAAATCAGCAAGTTCCTAATCAGAGGAAAACCCAGTTTGATCCAATTCCAATTACCTATACAGAGTTGTTCCCTATCCTGATACAAAGGAATTTGGTTCAGACCCGACCTCCACCGAAGGTTCCTGAGAAGATACATTGGTACTACAAAGCTGATTTGACATGTACCTTTCATCAAGGGGCTCCTGGGCATGACTTGGAGGGTTGCTTTGCTTTGAAGATTGAAGTTCAGAAGTTGGTCAGAAGTGGTATCTTGTCATTCAAGGACGTTGGCTTTGAAGTTCAAATCAAGCATGCGCCAAAGAGTAAACACGATTGATAGTGACTTTGAGTTTTGAAGGATGTTTTCGGTGATTCAAGTCCAGATGGAAGGCCTTCCCCGATCATTAACTTATTTCTGTTTTTTGTAATTTTTCTTGTTTATCAAAACATTGTTTGCATGTAAGAATTTGTTTGCATCTGTATGATTATCTTAATACAATGAGTATGTTTGTCTTGAAGAAATTCATTCGTCTCACTCATGTTTGTTTTCAAATTTTAAATTGCTTTTGCACTATGATACTAAATTGTTGCCCATTCTCTTGCCTAGGCAGAGATTGAAGGGAGGATGATGATCTAAAGAACACAAAATCTCTGGTTGTATGCTTTTGGATAAAATCTTGTTGACGATGTACAGGCATTGTTTCAAATCCCTAAACACCGGAGATATAAGGAAGATAATCCCTTGCTAACCCCTTTTGAGCCTTTGAAGCAGAAGTTTCTTTTCTATACGAAAAAACCTTGAATTTTAACCTGGGGCAGGGTAGTTTTTAGTTAATCTGACTGAGTGTTCAAAATTCATAAGGAAGATGTTTTTTGAAGAGAAACTACGAGGGCTATCCTTCATGTATAATGAATCTAGAGGATGTGGAACCACAATGTTATCCCTCATTCATCAAGAAACGAGGCAATCACAATCCTCTCAACAAGCAAAGACAAGCTAATGTCACACATTTTGTTCAAAAAGTCAAAAATCAAGAAAAAAAAAGGCCTGCTAAGCCAAAAAAAAAACATAA